CTTGCTACTGCAAAATCACACCTTTCTTGGTGACATACATTTTTTTTTATTCTCGAACCAACCATAGTCTAACTAACCACCAACCCAAGTTCTTTAAACATGTTAAGTCTACCTGTTTCGTGTCCGATTATGCTTTACGATGACGCAAAGCACAAGGACAAATAGTTTTGAAGCGTTGAAATCTATATGTATTGGGCAACTTTACGTTGCATTATCAAGAAGAGTTTCAATGTCAACAACCAAAATACACGAGATTTAAAGCTTAGTTTATAATATGTTTATAAATAGAAGGTACATAATTGAAGACACATCACAAGCATCAGCAAGGATAGCTGCATTGGCACAAACGAATGCCAACGTTGGTGTCGCAGTAGCCCTGTCCTCCATTGTGCTTAGACGCACATTTAGCACTACAGCAATCGTTGTTGCATTTGGCGCTGCACTGCCCTAGGCCATCTTGGCAAACCTTTCCCGGTGGTGGTGTCATACGACAACTATAAAGACACTCGCACAACGCCTCGTTGCCGAGGCGGTTGCAGCGGCCTTGCGGGTTCTCGGCTGGGATGTGCCTGGCTTTGCACCTTTGGTCGCAGTCGCTTCCGCACTCTCCTAGCCCTTCGGCACATAAGTCGTCGCTCTTTACTTCTGGCTTCTTGTCTGTCCCGTCAACATCAAATTTGAAATGTTGTTAGGTTATGAAATCTCAACGAGAATAACAATATAATCATGTTACGGTTAACTAAAAAAAACTAAAATTTGGAAAGTTTTAGGAAAAAATTATGTCTTTAGAGATGGAAAGAAGATTTGCTTACATCAAGAATTCGATTTAAGCAGAGTTACGTGGAATAGACACCTATTTCTTTCCTTCAGATGGAAGATTCGACCCTTCTAATGTAAGAGCCCAAGCCCAACGCTAGCGATATTGTCCTATTTGAGCTTTCCCTTTTGGGTTTTCTATAAAGATTTTTAAAACGTGTTGGGAGAGATTTTCATTTTATATCAAGGTTTCATTTTCCTCCCCAACCGATATGGGATCTCACAATCCTCTCGAGGAGAGATTTTCAGGGTTTCATTTTCCTCCCCAATCGATGTGGGATCTCACAGTCTGCCCCGAGGAGAGATTTTCACACCCTTGTAAAGGGTGTAGATCCTCTCGAGGAGAGATTTTCAGGGTTTCATTTTCCTCCCCAATCGATGTGGGATCTCACAGTATGCCCCGAGGAGAGATTTTCACACCCTTGTAAAGGGTGTTTCATTTTTCTCCCCAGCCGATGTAAGATCTCACAACCTACCCAGAGGAGAGATTTTCATGCCCTTATAAAGGGTGTTTCATTTTCCTCCTCAATCGAGGTGGGATCTTACAATCCGCCCCGAGGAGAGATTTCCACACCCTTATCTGGTGTTTCATTTTCCTCCCCAACCGATGTGGGATCTCACAATCCGCCCCGTGGAGAGATTTTCATACCCTTATATAAAGGGTGTTTCATTTTCCTCCCCAACCGATGTGGGATCTCACAATCCACCTCCTTTCGGGGCCCAGCATCCTCACTGACACTCGTTTCATTCTCCAATCAAAGTAGGACCCCACAATCCACCCCCCTTCAAGTCCCAATGTCCTTGTTGACACACCATCTGGTGTCCACCCCGGGCTCAGCCTCCTCGCTAGCACATCTCTCGGTATCTAACTCTAATACCATTTGTAACAACCCAAGCCCACCGCTAGCAGATATTGTCCTCTTTGAGCTTTCCCTTTCATGCTTCCCCTCAATGTTTTTAAAACGCGTCTACTAGAAGAGGTTTTCACACCCTCATAAAGAGTGTTTCATTCTCCTCCCGAACGAATGTAGAATCTCACATCCAAATTCATAGATAACTCAACGAAAGAGAAAATATTAATCCATGCACTTACTTATTACTAGCAAAAGAAGGAACACAAGGCACAAAGGTAGAGAAATCTTTAACATTTCAAAAGGCAAGAGGCAAAAAAGAACACAAAGCTTGAATTTTGTCTCAATATTGGGTAAGATATTATTTTTTTTTTAAAGGTAATGTATTTATTTGAATATATTTGAAATTAAATGGAAATAATTACCTGATTTTTTTACTAATTAAGGACTCATTTATTAAAAAGATAATACATTTCCCATGATGACATTCATTCTTATACCATTTTTATATTTATTACTATAACCACGTGGCATTTAACACTTAAATAAATGGAGTGCTATTAAAAACTTAAATACCAAAGATTTTAACATAAAATTTTAATACTTATATTAAAAAAAAAAAAAAGACATAAATTAATACTTTGTCTCTTTATTCAAGAACTCGATAACACTGCTTGGTTCGGAGCTCAGGTAATAGAGTCAAGGGTTTCGGAGCTCAGCAAGCTGCTTGACCAATAGAAAGAATAGAGACAGGAGAGAATATGCTCGAATTAATGTTGAGTCTTTCCTTGTTCGATCAGGTTCAGGTTTAGGATTGAATAACTCTATCGGCTCTCATGAGCTTATTCAAACTTAGATGTCGTATCTTTGGCTTAAATAGCCTAAACGTTTACTGGAATTTTGGTAAAAATTAAATAATACTATTGGATAATTGATACAGGATCTAATATCAAGATTTGTTGTAACGACCCTAAATTTTTACTAACCTAAAATCACTACTGTGATCATGATTTATGCTTTGATGCGGAATTAAACATTTGATCATGACTTACATGTTGAGAATTATCTTTAAAACAACTTAAAGAAATAATGAATAAAGCAATTAAAACATTAAAAGTAAAAACACCTTACACTGACCTAAGTTCAAAAATGAAATACCACTATCATATGCACGTGACATGGTTTCTACTTGTGATATCGTCGTCAACCGTATATGGGTGTCTTGCCTTTACCTGAAATAGAAGTAGCACGAGTATTTTAAGAAACACTCAGTAAGTGATCGTACTATTGCGGTCAAGGAATGCAAACACATGCAACTCATGATCTAGAGACCTATCGTTAAAACCATCATAGGCTGGCCTCTAGTCCTGACGAAATTGACTGTGTCGTATTTTTGTACACATGACCCCCACGTGTGAGCGTGGATCCCCAAGCGGTTTGCACCCCCTAGACTCATCATAGTTGAGCTAGCTGTCCGTAGCGACTTCTGAAGGTCAGTAGACCCTTGAGTGTCATGTGAGGCATGATCACCTTCATCATCATAGTATATGCATATGTACTCATTATCATAAATGGGGAAGTAGCCGAATGTATATGTACACACAAAATGCATGAGGTCACTATAGTTTTTCATCTTTAAATCATCTTTATCACACAGACCTATATATCGTTCTCATATTACTCTTAGTTACATGCATGCATTGACCTTCATACGTTCATCATCTTTAACATTAACTAGGGTTGTGTCTTAGAAAAATAATCGTCGTCATAATGATTATGTCTAGACTGGAGACCACCCATATGATGATGATGATCATGTCACGCATGACACTCGAGGATCTGCTGACCTCCAGATATTGCTACGAACAGCGAGCTCGACTATGATGAGTCTAGGGTGAGTGCAAACTGTCTGAGAATCCATGCTCGCACATGTGGATCGTGTGTAGGAAAGTACTACACATCCAGTTTTGTTCAGACGGGAGACCACCCATAGGATAGTTTTAATGATAGGTCTCTAATCATGAGTTGCATGTGTTTGCTTTCCCTGACTTCAATAGTGAGGTCACTTACTGAGTATTTCTTCAAATACTCAAGTCTTGTGCTACTTCTATTTCAGGTAAAGGCAAGACACTCCTGTACGACTGACGACGACATCGTAAGTAAAGACCATGACACATGCATAGGATAGTGGTATTTCATTTATTAGACTTTAGGTTAGTATAAAGTGTTTTTATTTTTAATGTCTTACTTGTTCTATTTAGAATTCTTTAGGTTGCTTTAAGGATGTTTTTTAACATGTAATTCCATCGCAATGTTTTATGAAAAAAATTTAAATGTTTAATTATGTATAAGAGCATAGGTTATGACGACAGTAGCAACTTTAGGTTAGTAGAAATTTAGAGTCGTTACAGTGAGAGACATTATAATGTCATTAAGTAAAATATTATTACTAAATGATGAATATCGTATTTTTAGTAATCAAAAGTGAAATTCTATTTATACGATATGTTAGACTGCGTGGGGTTCCTGTGACATGGCCTCCAAAAAGCGTTAGGTACTCGCCTCGACTTCAATACTGCTTTTCATTCTCAGGAAAATTGTCTAATCGAACGCTTAAACCAGATTTTGGAAGATATGTTACGTGCCTACGTGTTAGACTTCGTCAGCAGCTAGGAGACGAAATTGCACCTTATGAAGTTCGCCTACAACAATAGTTTTCAAACAACTATTAAAATGGCATTATTTGAAGCTCTATATGGAAAGCGGTGCAGGTCTCTGGTGTGCTGGGTGAGGTAGGTTAACGAGAATTATTGAGACTAGAGTTGGTCCAAGTTACCAATGAGCCTATGCAAAAGATCACAATAAGAATGCAAACGAATCAGAGTAGGAAGAAGAGTTACGCTGATGTGAGGCATAGGAATTTGGAATTTGAGGTAGGTGACAAGATGTTCTTGAAGGTGGCTCGGATGAAAGGCGTCCTGAGATTTAGATGGAAGGGTAAGTTGAACCAATGCTTCATCAAACCCTTCGAAATCCTAGACTGGATTGGACTAGTGGTGTATGTTGGATGAAAGTCCCACATCGGCCATTTTAGGGAATGATCATGAGTTTATAATCAAATAATACTCTCTGTATTAGTAGGAGGCCTTTTGGAGAAGCACAAAGTAAAGCCACTAGAGCCTACACTCAAAATATTGGTATTTTATTAATTTAGATTTTTATTAATATTTCTATTTTCAATATTTTGTGGAGGAAATAAGGGTAAAAGTACTAAAATACCCCGAAATTTAATACGGCCGGGACGGCGTCCCATAAAATTCACATTTTCAGTTGCCGTCGTCACTCTGATTCCCAGTCTTCCTGGAAAGTGAGACAACTGAGCTTGCTTAAACCCTAACAATGGCGATCGTGAGTCCCCAGCAGCAACCTCAAATCCACAGGTTTCCGCAATTCAAGTATGTTGACGGCGTTCGATGGCTTCCACCGCTCTCCGCATTCGGCCGGTTTGCCGTCGTTGCCCTTTTCGACTCCGATTCCGACTCATCCTCCATTGAAATTCACTCCCTTACTCAAAATCCGCTGGATATGGCTCCTCAGTCGTTTTGGACGTCACCTTCAAGAATCTCTTCCCTTAAAACCTCTCAATTCTATCAGAACCCTCTCGTTTTCGCTTCGACTTATACGGGCTCTCTTCATGTTCTATCTGTCGAGCCAATGGATGCGTCGCTCGATTCGGAGCTCTCCGTGCCTGAGAAGGTATTGCACGATAGACCTATTTCTTGTGTCGATGTGATGGATGGTGGAGGTGAATGTCTGACGGTTGCGGAAGATGGACGGGTGAATTTGGTTAGCGTTGGGGAATCTGGATTGAATTATCGTCGGATATTCGATAGTAATGGGTTGGTGTCGTATACTGCAGCGAAATGGGCATCCCCCACTGAGTTTGCGACAGGAGGTTGTGGGTTTAGCTTGCAATGGTGGGATCAGAGGAAGCCCGGTGGAGCAGTTTCTCAGTTTAAGGGCGACTGGTATGTGAATTTGCGTAATTTCCCTGGCATTCTCTCATATATAGTTGAACGTTTAGCATCTAGGACTGGAACAGAATTGTAGGAAACACCCTGTTTTCTGAAACAGGAAGTGGCTTCTGAGACTTCCTTGCTATAGAAAAATCAACAAGTCATAGCTGCTCTGCTTGTATGTAGTGTAGATTGACGAAAGAACAATCGGTTCCTAAAAATGTTCTCTGGTTTGACTAGAAATGAAATTTTGATATTGTGAAATCTTAAAAAGTGCAAGTCGCCGTAGTTGATTAATAGATGTGTTGAATTCATTCTTGTGGCAATTTTGCAGGGCTTCTGGTATTGTTCACTGCATAGACATCCATCCATCCCGAAAACACACTTGTTTGGTAAGCTCTGTTGCCTTAGCTTCTTATCCTTACATCACACCTAAGTAGTCATAGTCACGTGTGTTTGTATAAACTCTGCAGAAGATCAGGACTCCGAACTTGTGTTTCCTTTCCAAACTTCTTTTTTTTTTTTTTGTCCTAAAACTTTTTTAGAGATATCATGATTGGGTCGCCCAGGCCAGATCTAGAGTCTAATAATGAGGGTAATATTTTATCATGGTGGAGTTTTCTTGCTCTCGCTATCGTTCGCCTTGGAGACATGGTCGAGAAGTACCATGCATGGTTGTTTCTGACTCCCTATGAGCCGTTTGACGACCTGAGTTTCTGTACTTTCTACCATTCAGTTTTGTTTATAGTGCTAAACACGCCTCTTAAGTCTTCTCAACCTAACTCTTTTGGTAGATTACTTGGGCAGATCTTATTGAGCTAATTATTTGTCATCTCTTGTGTAAGTTCAGGTCGATAGTGAAATTGATTTCCAGCCTCAGAATCATCACATTATAGAAATTTTTAATGGTTCTCTTTTCTTGTTTAGGTTCATACCACTTCATGTTTTTCCATCTTTCTTATCCTGCCTTATTTATGAGCTTCAGTATAAGTGTGCTTATTATTCCCCATGTTAGGCAGGAGGCTCTTTCGGAACTGTCTTTGCCTGGGATTTGAGGTGGCAACAGCAGCCTATCATTCTCTCAGGTCTAGAAGGGAGCAAAACATCAAATTTTTCGCCATGTGAAAGTGAGGTTTGGGAGGTTCACTATGATCCTTATATTAAGTCTGGCAACATTGGTGGCATGTCATCTTCGCAGATTTTACCTGCCATGATCTGCTCCGAGGACGGGATTATAACAAGTATTGAACAAGGTAGAAACTGGTGCTGACCATGTTTGATTGGTCGGGGTGAACCATCGTTTATCCAAATTCTTTTTGTTGCTACATATCTAATATATAAGTAGTTTCCTTTTTCATTCTGTTATCTAATGCCTGTTGGCTATTGTCTTATTTTCTGTTCCACATCCATAAAGTGGCTCAACTTTTCTATTTATGTGACTTGTAGGCAAGCAGCCTGTGGAACTGCTAGCAGAACCTTGCGCAATTAATGGTTTTGACATCGACCGTCAACACCCATCGGTAAGTTGCCCATATAACTATTATATGAAACTTATGTTGTTTACTTTATTCATTGTGTTGTCCCATATAACTACTATTTGAAAATAAATGGTGAGAGGGTTTAAGTGGTGGTGCTCGCTATGTTTAAGGCTCTCTAAATATGCTATGCAGGAAGTGATATGTAATTTGGAATGGGAATCCGTGGCCATCCTGTCAAGACCTTGATTTTCAGAAGTCATCGTCTTTTCTAAATCGTTTGGTTACAATCCACTATATCGATCCCTTTGACGATGTAAGGTTTTTTGTATCTATAGCTTTTTTACCTCTCGCAGAATGCATGCGATTTCTTAGTTTTAGGCTCATGTAAAATTTGAGGCTGTTGCTGGGTTTAGTTACACCACGTAATTTGAACTGAATTTTGATATGGATTATCATATTGGTCTTGACCATATCAGGGTGATATGAATGATGTAACTTTGCATTGTGTTTTTAATGTATTTCTTCTTTTTTTCATTCTACTTCTCAACGTGACGTTTTTACTTTTTAATTTTTATACCAATTAATGTTTACAGAATGTGAAGTACTTAGCTGAGCTTTATTGGAAATTTTTAATTGGCATTATTAGTTGTTATACTTAATTGAAGATTGGCAGACAGGTATTTTGTCGAGTACTTTTTTTATCCGAGTTGAAATCTTACCTGCTAATTATCGTGAGAAATTACTTATGCCATGACGTTTCATTTTATCATTAGATTATGTTTGATGTGCAATATGCACGATGGTTGAATATACGAAGAGGATTGTATTTTAGAGTTATCCTCAGGTGTTGGGTTTCGTTATTTTTTAATATTACTTTTTCATTTTTTATGATTTATAATTGCCTTCTTTGTGTATTTTATGATCCTGTATTTTATAATTCAAGAAATTTGTGATCTTCCATGGTTGGAATTACCACCATGCTAACTGTGACAGTCCTACATTTTTAACCGAGCGGCATCGTGATCTTCACATGCTCACGACCAGCCTTGAAGGGAACCCAAGTCCCATATGCATTTTTCGCCTGACTTTGTGGCTTCGTTGGACTTTCGACGAGGTTTGTTTTTGCCAACTAAACACAACTTATACAGAATCCAAGCTTGTTCGGCCACACATGTTGCCTGCGCGTGCATGTTCAATCTTCTGCAACCCAGCCGGCGTGCCTCTACACTAGGCCAAGTCATTTGTTCGGGTTCTATCGAAGCATTGGACCCTCCCGTGTCCATGCCATATTAGTTACAAATTTTGAATTGGTTGGCGGTTGTATGATCCAACCTTCGACACATGGGCTGGTGCGCAATGTCGGTACATTGTGTTGTTCGATATTGCCCTTGAAAAACTCATTTTAAAGGAAGTCGCTCAAGACACTCCTCGTAATGTTTCTCCCTCACTGTGACACACTATGTGCCATAGGGTAGTTCACTTAGGCCACAGGGCCCGGAATGGTGGAGAGTTGACACCATGTCTCCCCCTATAATACATTTTGGAGGCATTTACAATCTGGTGGACGAACATGGTTGTGGAGAAAACATGAGGACAGAGCTGATAACAGGAGTAATCATGAGGACAGAGCTGATAACAGGAGTAATTAGATCAAACATGCATGGAAATTGAAGAAAGTGTATGTTAGAGACACATTTGTAAGAAACCACCCATGAATTATAGTATTCTTTTTATTAAAACTTGTTTACTGCATTTAGATTGGAGGAATTCCATGCATTATGCTTTTTACAAAATATATCGTTGAACCAATCAAGGAAAAATTAATGAGTCTCTTCATCTTGACTGCCGAAATGATACTCATATGAACTGTATTTGGTAACATTATGTGCTACCAAAAGCCAAACATGAGTGATCAATTCACCTCCATGTCTGATATGTTCTGAATGATATTCCATTTCACAGTGACTTGCTGCATATCCCAACATCTCAACCCACATACTCCCTAGTACCTTCCATATGTTTTCATTGCTCATTGTTGATAAGCTATCTGCTAATTCTTTTACATCCTTCAGCAGGTTCCAATTCCCCACAACTACTTTCTCTGCTTCTGATTCAGGTGGTGCATGCGGTTCCTTCACTTGAAGGATACCTTCTTTCTGTAATCCTAACAGATCTTTGCAGGCTTCCTCTTTGTTCAGACGTCCAGTTCTCGTTAACCTCCCGAGCTTCACGCAAGAATGGTCAAATATGATATCTCCAGTTGTTGACGATAGCACGTGCGAACGCGTCACCAAAAGGTACATCATATAATCTGATATATTCATGATAGCTTCCATTTTAGCATTGTCAGTAGTATCATGAAAGCTCTGTATGTGATAGAAAATATTTGTTGTGATATGCCATATGAATATGCTCTTATCGAATGGTCTCTTGTTTACTGTTGTTTCAAGTGCTTGGATCACGTCATTGAGTTTGAGTTTTTCTCGGTACCTTCCGATTGTCCATTGGCCTCTTTGATCGAACTCTTCTTGTCCTTTGATCTTATCTATCTCTCTGAGTTCTGCTACCACAAGCTCTTTCACTTTGGGATCGACGTCGATTCGATCCAAACTCAATTGCTTTCGGAGTTTCATATCCATGCCCCAATACCGGAGAATTTTGATTCGGCTGTAGTTTCGGTGCTTGGTTTGCAAGCAGAAATCTAAAAGATTGAACTGTCCCATTGTATTGGACCATCTTCTCCAAGTTGCTGATTGAGGGGCTAGAGACTGCAAGAAACCCATAAGAAAAGGAAAAGTTTCATAGTGCCTAATCATTTGGATTATAGCCCAATCTGTGTATGGTAATCTCAAGATCTGATATACCTCAATTATCAGAGATGCTATCAACACAAAATGGATAAACCCAACACTGATATTATACACAAAAGCATCCTTGAACAAGACTGAAAACCCAACTAGTGTGGCTATCAAGCTAAGTAAGCTAATACAACGAAGAATTAAACCCTTACGAGTATATACGACCGGTGCTTTCGTATAAAGTGCATCGTACATGAAACCCAGCTCAGAATCTGTAATTCTGAACACGTCTTCATAGTCACAGTCGTCGATGTATAGTTTTTGGTATTCGCAATCAGTTGGAGGATAGTAAAGCCAATTCTCTAGATGTGGTTTTAGGCAGCAAAATCTATAATAAGCTCTTAAGATCAATTTTGCCTCTGGGAGTTCGTTCTCTCCCTGTGGTAATTTGTCGAACAAACGAGCTACTTCGTGATATTTGAAGAAATCGGCAATTGTGAAGCCGAAGTTTCCGTTGAGTGCTGATTTTAGAGCCCATGATGTTTCTGCATACTTGATTATCCCAGCTAAAGACATTGGCAAGTAAAGAAACGATGTTCTTGAATTTGTCCATGACCTTATAAGAATGTAGAACATTATAGTCACTTGGATCACCAAGCTGAAAATTTGCCTCACTCCTAGCTGGTTGTCTTCGATCGAGTAGGCTGTGATCGTATCTGGATTTCCTATTTGCATGAACATCAATGGTGCCAACAATGCCTGAATTTGGGTGTGCGTGTTGCGTTGGTCTTTGCCTATTTCAATTGTCGTTAGCTTGCCCAGAACAACCGTTGCTAGTTTAGCAGCCAATAAGTAGGAAAACCAAACGGTTAAGCTGAGCTTATATCCCGGTGTGTGCCTTCGACGACATCCATTGAAAGTTAAGATAATTTGGAACATGAAGTTTGCCAATACTAGCAACTCAATGCCCCAGTAACTCCATAAGGAACTGATATCTCTTGGTATAATTTTTTCAAATAGTTCAGAAAACATGGTTTCTTCTTTCTCCTAGATACGTCGAAACGAAATGAAGAATGTTTGAAAACTGCTAAAAGATAGAACAGATTCCCATTGTTATCTCTAAGAAAAAAGAAAAGCTTTATAAGAAGATGAAGAACAAAACATATATAAAAGGCGAAAGGCGAAAGAAGCTGGAATCGAAGGTCATACCTGAAGCCAAAACTCGAAAAGAACCAATAAAATAGTCGGAAGAGGCTAATGAATGTAGAAAAGCTACTTCACATATATAACAAGATAGGAGAAGTCATCCCCAGACATATTCTTGAATTGCAAGCAAAATTTGTGAGCTTCTAGTTTAATGTATCTTGTGAGGAATTGGCATCTTCATAAGGACATTCCTTTCAAAAGAATAAGAATTGCTTACCTTGGACAAAACTTTTGGCATCTATCTTATTGTAGTCAAACAGCGTAGCTGGGGTACAGATCTGTGGCCTGAAAGTTCTTCCCACATGGGAGCTTGTGAAATAGGAGCATAATGTTATTATACTCTTTAATCTTTAGAAAATTTGAAGATCATTACAAGGAATATGGGCATGGTTTAGAACTATTTACACAGGACTTTTAAAAATAAGTATTGGTCTGTTTCATTCATTATTTGTTCCCATCGGGAGGAGAATGAAGCATTGTTTATAAGGGTGTGGAAACCTCTCCCTAGTAGACGCGTTTTAAAAACGTTGATGGAAAACCCAAAAGGGAAAGCCCAAAGAGGACAATATCTATTAGTGGTGGACTTGGGCTGTTATAAATGGTATCAGAGCCATACGGGGCGATGTGCCAGCGAGGAGGCTGAGCCTTCGGTGGGTGGACACGAGATGGTGTGCCAGCAAGGACGCTAGGTTCCGAAAGGGGGTGGATTGTGAGACCCAGTTGGTTGGAGAGGAGAACAAAGCATTTCTTATAAGGGTGTGGAAACCTCTCCCTAACAGACGCGTTTTAAAAACCTTGAGGGGAAAGCCCAAAGAGGACAATATCTATTAGCGATGGTCTTGGGCTGTTACAAATGATATTAAAGCTAGACACCGGGCGATGTGCCAGCGAGGAGGCTGAGCCCCAAAGGGGGGTGGACACGAGGCAGTATGCCAACAAGGACGCTGGACTCCGAAGGTGGGTGGATTATGAGATCCCACATTGGCTGGAAGAGGAGAACGAAATATTCTTTACAAGGGTGTGGAAACCTCCACACCCTAGCAGACGCGTTTTAAAAACCTTGAGAGGAAGCTTAAAAGGGAAAGCCTAAGGAGGACAATATCTGTTAGTGGTGCGCTTGGACTATTACAAATGGTATCAGAGCTAGACACCAAGCGGTGTGCCAGCGAGGATGCTGGGCCCCTAAGGGGGTGGATTGTGAGATCCCACATCAGTTGGAGAGGAGAACAAAACATTTTTTACAAGGGTGTGAAAACCTCCTCCTAACAGGCGCGTTTTAAAAACCTTAATGGAAAGTTCAAAGAGGACAACATCTGCTAGCAGTGGGTTTGAGCTGTGACACTATCACTATTCATTATTGATTATTGATTATTGATTATACATTATGGAAAGTGATAATTGATTATTGATTATACATTATGTTTCCATTGGCATAGCTTAGAACAAGATCAGTGAGGTTGAAGTGAGGCAGTTGAAACAAAACTGGGGTAGCCTTGTTTGACAGATGTTAAGATTCGTAGCCAGCCTTGTACAGGTAGCTTCTTGAGAAGGCTACGGAAAAACAGGTAAAAGTAATTGCATAAAGCTTGATTCATACATGGGGGAAGAAATACCTTGTTCTTCTCATTAAGTACTCTTCACAAACAAGTAACTTTAGAGTCTTGAACAGAATGTAATTTGAACCTCTGCTATGATTGATTACTTGTGATGGTTGTTTTCCCTTGACCTTTTTGATACTTTGATTCTCTAATATATAACGATTTTGGAAACCTTCCCTGATTTTGACCTCTCAGATAATTATATATTGTTTTTCTTTTAATTTAGCTTTGCAGAATGTATTCAAGTCAACAAATTGGAGTGGTTTATGTTATGAAGAACGAGGTAACTTCGATTTGCAAGTTTGTTTTTTGTTTCATTAATACTCTGCGTTAAAACGTTCGTTTGTGTTTATTTGGTCTATGAACTTCAAAATGTGTTCATGTTTAATTTTGTGTTCAATGGGTCGTCGGATTTTTTATTATTATCATTATTTATTATGTAATAGGTTTTTTTAAAAAAAATTATGAATTTATTAGATGTGAAATTGAATTTTATATATGATAGATCAAGAATTTAAAAGATACACACTCTTAAAGTTTAAAATTGATTTGAAGTTCATGTAAAGCGTAGCGGGGCCAATTTCTCATATTTATTGAGTGTGTTCCCCTTTCGTCGAGTGTATCGCCCGGTTCACGGGGTTGTTGGCCTATCAAGTACTTGCCCACTGCTTCTGCCGTGCTTGGCAGGCTTTGCACTAGTTATCCTTACTATTATATCCAACCGATCAAGAATTTAAAAGGTACACATTCTTATATTTTAAATATTTATTTGAAGTTCATGAACTTATTACACATTTTTTAGGTTCATAGACCATGTAAACTTCAAAGTAAGACTAAACGTGTAGTTTAACATTGTTTTTACATATATATTTTAAAAACAACGTGTAGTTTAGCATTGTTTTTACATATATATTTTAAAAATCTTGTCAAGTTCATTATATACATATATATACATATGTATATATATATATATATAATAATGCGTATTATTTAAATAAGGGTTATGAAATGATTAGATTTTGAATATTTATAGTAGAGTTCATAAATAATAAAATAAAGGCGAAAAGAAAATTCCTGAATATATTATTTAAAGATAAATAGAGAAAATGGGGAAGGAAATAAAGGTAAAGATAATATAATATAATTTATTTGATTTTCTATTTGAAGTTATTGTAATTGTGATTTCATTGGTTTGTATGAAAGTCTAGTTTGTTGTATTTTTATTCAAAATAAATTATAATTAAATTACGAGAAAAATAGTAAAAGAATGTATTCTTGCCTTCAATGAGTTTAAATAGAATATATTTTATGGAAATACCCAACCAAAACTAGAATGAAAAAATTAATTAATTAATTTATTAAATTGACAGCTACGTATGACAAAAAAAATATATTTTTTTTTTCAAAATATAATTCAATACTAAAAATTAGGAAATTGAACTCAAATATATAAATTTTATAAAATCGGACCGAAGAAATTATACTCACATCGTTTGAATTAATTTTTTATGTGCTCGCTCATAACTACATTTTAACGCTAAGAAAATTATTTCACATAAACCATTAATTCTAATAGTGTTTGTGAGTTTAATTGAGTAAGATTTCAACATTTTTTAGATTTAATCTAATTGTTTAGATTGTAAATTGTTCTGAATTATTCTTGTCAATTATTCAAAAAAAATTAATAAAAGAAAATTCTAGTCACGTTTATTTATTTATTTATTTGTAATTCAATTTCGTACCTATTTTGAAAATTTACCTTAAAATAGTTTTAAATGAATTTCATCCCGCGTTCTAGAATAAATAATTAAAGTATAAATATATATATATATAATCGTATTTTTAGAAAAATAAAATTTAAATTTAAATTTGTTCTATGCACCCATTCTAATTTTAAAGGAACATCAGAATAAATAATTAAAAAAAATTATGAATATAAATATATATATATATAATCGTATTTTTAGAAAAATAAAATTTAAATTTAAATTTGTTCTATGCACCCATTCTAATTTTAAAGGAACATCGGAACTAACTCCGTAAAATTTTTATTTACTTAAACATAGTCTTATCTAAATAAAGTCATAATCCAACTCAAACCGTACAGATTGGGTTTGATTGATCGGCTTGAATCAAGAATTATCTTCGGCGTACACATAGTATGTCATTTTTAATACCTCAAGCTTAAAATTCAGAATCTCAATTTTGTACCGTTCAACTCTAACATTTTCATGTTATTAGTAGAATAGTGTTTAACTTTGAAATTTATATTTAAAATTTATATTATTAGACGATCGCAAAAAATGTACGATATTAACTATATATTATTTTAGATTTTTAGTTTCTCTATTTGATTCGATTCATTCGCATGCCTTTCAATTATTTGAGTCTGAGATGCCAATAATTGCAAACAAATATATTTTCTATTTTTTATTTTATTTTTTTTATCTTAAAATTTTTTTTATGCAAGCATTTTCAATCCAAACGTATTAAATCCATTTCCTTTTTTTTTTTTTTTTTTTATAAATAATAAATCCAAACTTTTTTGGTAGTCAATTGTGGCAATGATTGGTGCTTATGTGGACCAATCACTGATGAGGTCCCACCCTACGAAATCACATGACGTCCTCATCTGATTGCTTCTCCCATAGAGAACATTTTAACTCCCGTCTACGTGTCAGTCACCACTTGGGAATCAGCGGGTCCCACACACATGCAAATAATCCGAATCTCTGCCACGTTGTACTACTGCGTTTCGAAATGACAGAAGTACCCCTTCAAAGATTTCCATTTACGACGCTGGCCAAACTCGTTATTCAAAGGGCATTATAGTAACTCCGCTTTTTCTTGCTTTTTTTTTTTTTTTTCTCTTTTTTTGGTTAAAATAAAAAATAAAGTTTAAATTAATACAAATTATTAAGTTTATATGATCATAAATATTGGAAAATAGATGGTAGATAAATTAAAGATAATAATAATGGCAATAAACCACAATTTATTAAATCAAAATGGTATAAAATTTATGGTCCCAATTAATTAAATAATTGTAAATAATTTAAAATTTACTTCCAATAATAAAATTACAATAATTATCTTTCCTATTTAATAGAGAAATTAACATAATTCAATTAAATGTGTGCTTACCAATTAAGAATTGCATAATAATATTTTATTTTGTTAAATTATAATTTTTTTTAAGAGAAAAAAAGAATTTAATTTATTTATAATTTCCCGCTCTTCCGTTGTTTAGATTTTTATGTTGCTACAGAATATGATGGTTCTAAAGAATACTCGTGTGATGTTCCATGTTGGTTGGGAAAGAGAACAAAACACCATTTATAAGGATTTGGAAACCTTCCCCTAGTAGACGCGTTTTAAAGCCTTGAGGGGAAGCCCGAAAGGGAAAACCCAAAGAGTACAATATCGGCTGATGGTGGATCTGGACTGTTACAACCTGTCTTATATTATGCCTGAAATACACACCTAATTTAAAATGGTACGGATGAGACGATTCATGTTTTGTCTACCCTCTGTACTATCCCAAGATTCTTTCATTTTAATGAAGCGTTAGTTTATTTATGCATCAGTATACAAAGATCTCGTTAATAATATCGTGATTTAGCAGTGTATACAGTTTAGTTTGATTGGAAAAATCTTTTAGACTAACTCGAAATTTTGGGTTGGTTAGGTTGGTGACTCGAGCAATCCAAATTGAGTTCATAATCCAACCCAAATCGGTTGACGGGTTTTTTTAATTATCTAAAAAAAATTCAATTTATCAATAATACACGTTACATCAATAAATAAAATTTGTTGAAAATCAAATATCAAACATTTCCAAATCACATTTTATCACTACGGTTACAAAATTTTAGATATCCTTAAGGTGTAATCAATTTTCGAGTGGGTTGGGTTGACTCGATCAGAAAAAAGTCAACCCTTGAGTCCAAATTTTCAATTTTCCAAAAATTTAGTCCATCCAAAATAAATTTTTTTAACCCAACTTTTACGATATGGGTTTCAATTTTCGAGAAAAAGTCAACCCTGGGTCGGATTATTAAGTCATACGAACACCACTTCCCCGTAATACACAAACAATGACAGTTATTCATATAGATTCTTATTGAGGGACCCACAATCAAAATCTATTTGTTCTAATGCAAAATCAGTTCAGTTAAGCATAAAAAAGGCCTATTTTATTCATTATGCTTAATTTCTAAAATTAGAGAGAAAATTAAAAAATATATATATAAAAGAAAAATTGTCTATTTATGATCAAACCACACGTGCCGTCGCACGTGAATGTAGCCGGCAAATTGGATTGGATTCAGCCAACCCGACCCGAACGGCGGTAAGAATTTTACCAAATCTGTCCCTATATATTTCTTTCTCTCTCTCTCTCCTCTTTTTTTTTTTCTTTTTTTTTATTTACTTAAAATAATTTTTTTTTGGAGTTTTCAGAATCTCCGTTGTCTTTTGCATTCCTAATTTCCTATCCATTTCGGTCGCAGATCGTCGTTCTAGGGTTTCGTTCTTGTATTAATTTTGAAGCTCTGTGTGGATTTGTTTCGCCATTGATTTCAGTTTTTCACTATCGGTGAAGGGGAAACGAGAGGAAGAATTTGATGGTGCAGTTGATGAAATCTGGGAATCGCTCTCTGGAGCCGGATATGGCGTCGCTTTGGGACAAGGTGCCGGTTAAGCTGGAGATCGAGGACTCTCTTGAAGAGGAGCATGGTCCTCTCTCCAAGCGATCGAAAACGGCGACGTCGTTTTCACCGGTATGTGGAATCGGTTTTTCTTCTGCTTGGTTACGAGTAAATGTTCGGGGGAAATTTGTTATCCTTGGAACTATTTTCAGAAGATGAATGTTATGTATTTGAACCACGAAGTTGAACGTTTAACCTGATTGTTTTTCTTCGTCCATTTTTTTAAAAATGGGGATTGATCTTCTTCTGTATGCCTTTTGGTATCCTAGTTGTGTGATTTATGAGAATGTTCTTCTCATTCTCTGTGGTGATTTTTATTGTTGAAGCATTGCGGTGAATTTTTATTTTTTTATTTTTTTTATTTTTATAATTTGTGATTTTCTCATCGCTTGATATGATTTTGGTTTTTCGTTTTTTTTTTGTTTTCTGTTTTTGCATGATCTTGTCAAACGAGAAACAACAGAGTGATGGTACCGATGATTTTCCTGTGCCGCCTGCTCAATACAATCCTCTTGATGAGCCTAGCCCTCTTGGTTTGCGGTTGAGGAAGAGCCCTTCACTGTTGGATCTAATTCAAATGAAGCTTTCTCAATCAACTGCTGCTTCAACTGATGTGGCGGAATGTGAAAGCTTTAACTCTTCAATGAAAACGGAGAATAATTGCACTTCTATTCAGAGCTCTACTGACAAGCTGAAAGCTTCAAACTTTCCTGCATCGCTTCTACAAATTGGTGGTTGGGAGGTACAACATATCTCCCCTGTGTCTCTAGTAATTAAACATGTGGATATCAAGTAAGTCAGGTCTTGTTTATTGACAGTATAAATCAAGATATGAAGGTGATTTGGTGGCAAAATGTTACTTTGCTAAGCATAAGCTTGTATGGGAAATTCTTGAAGGTGGGTTGAAGAGTAAAATAGAAGTTCAGTGGTCTGATATTATGGCCTTAAAGGCACACTGCCCCGATAATGGACCTGGTACTCTGAATGTGGTGGTACGCACCTCTTATTTTTTCGTCAATGCCTGCCTTGCGCATTGCGCTCTCTCTTATTTTTTCGTCAATGCCTGCCTTGCGCATTGCGCTCTCTCTTATTTTTTCGTTAATGCCTGCCTTGCGCGCTTTCTCTTATTTTTTCGTTAATGCCTGCCTTGCGCGCTTTCTCTTAGCTTAATGCTCGAGAGTGTATTTATGTGGAGGACTTCTTGCTTTTATCCAATGACTGCCTACTTTCATTTTTTGATTGTCTTATCTGTAGTTGGCTCGACAGCCTCTTTTCTTCCGGGAGATGAACCCTCAACCAAGAAAACACACATTATGGCAGGCAACTGCTGACTTTACTGATGGCCAGGCTACTATGCACAGGTAACGCTTGTGATTTTACCATCTTTGAAGCATGTCGAATTTTATGCTCAAAGCTTTCAGTTTTGTGCTCTCCTCATAAACTTAGTTCCCCATCAAAATCAGTGATGGAAAGTTCTCTATATTGACTATTATGGACGTTCTTCATGTCTTTTGTACTTAATTTTTTTAGTAGAGGAAGTTCTGTTTTGCTATATTATGTTTAGATTCAAGAGTGGGAAATTTGAATATGTTGTCGTTTCATTATCATTTCCCTCAATTGCTTTCGAGTGCTGACTCACCAATTGGGTGCATAAAACACGTCTTTCTTTGACCATGGAATATTCTCTTTTGCTGGCAACTTTCCATCTTTTGAGAAGAAAGGAAATGTAGATCCACTGAAGAATATGTGGACCTGAGAGACAACTTTCTAGATGACATGGTTTTTATGAGGATTCTCCCTATCATTCTCCATTTGTCCCTTTTTCTTTTTAGCTTGGATGAGAAAATTAATATCTTCCTTGCTCAAAGCTGAACATATAAGATGCATACGCATGCCTGAATATATCACTTGCATGGATAAAAAGTATTCAATAAAAATGATTTATTTTCCTCATGTAAGGACAACTCTACATGTCTCGGACTCTGGACTTCGGTTATAATCATAATGGAAATCTAATTTTGTGATTGTTAGGCAACATTTTCTGCAATGTCCTCAAGGGTTGTTGAACAAACACTTCGAAAAGCTAATCCAGTGCGATGTGCGTCTTAACTTTTTAAGCCGGCAACCAGAGATAGTTTTGGATTCACCATATTTTGATCGAAGGGTTTCTGTTTTTGAGGATCCAGAACACCAAGCAGAAACTAGCAAAGGATCAACTGTATCTGTTCTGACAGACGGTGCCTCACCATCTCCTCAGCAATCATCCTTGAAGATAGAACAACAAGACTCTACTTGTACGACAGTGGAACATCACTCTCATGAAGCCCCATCACCTTCCTCAGGTGACTTTTTATGGATCTGCTTTTTGTTATATGTGTTTTAGTGAATACGTTTTACATCCCTTTTTTTTTTTTTTTCTTTTGCATTTATTATTAATTGATTATTTTATTTAGATATTATTGAATAAGTTAAAAAGTAATATAGAATTGGGCCCTACAGAGAGAATCTCTTTGACTTCAACATTGGTTATAACTTTTGATAAATGGAAAAAAGAGATGATGAACGAAGGGAGGCCCAGCAATCTATCCACCTCATCACAATATCATCTCTACTTGACAAAAAATATCTTATATAGCTTGTTGACTTAAATTGATTTGCTTTCAAAAGGAATTCATTCAAGAAAGATTAGTTTAGAGAAGAATTTAGTATGTTTTTTCCACGCCATGTTTCTGCTAATGAATTATGTGTTTTGTCTTGGTTTATTCATGTTATTTAATTGAATGCAAAAGGGAAGCAAGTCTTTTAGTTCATAAATTCTTGGTGTGTCACATCATGATTTGAATGAATGGTCAATATTCCTGGTCATCGATATCTTTTGTAATTTGTTTCTGGAATCTTGGCGTTATTTTCTAGGGTTCTATCAGGAATTAGCGAACGTTTGCTTGTAATAAAATATCTTTGCTGTTCCTTTGTTACTAATCAAAGACAGAATCTTTTGCAGCCGAAGCAAGTGCAAATTTTGAAGTTGGTAGTTCTAGAAGCTCAAGAAATTGGGGACAAATGAAAGTTCCTGGGCTCCACCCGTCCATGTCGATGAGCGATCTCGTGAATCATATTGGGCACTGCATTACAGAGCAGATGACAGCGGCAAATCCATCATTTTCTGATCAAGGACCAGATTGCCAGGACATACTAGAGGATATTGCACAGTATTTACTGACAGACAACCAATCTACAACTTCTGATGAGAAATCTCTCATGAAAAGGGTCAATTCTCTCTGTTGTCTCTTGCAGAAAGACCCAACCAATACCACAACTCAGAATTCACAGTTCGATGAAGAAAGTCGTGGCGAAGCACCTGATGACAAGAAGAGCTACACAACTGATAACATGTCGAAAAGCGATGTCAAAGCTTTTGCAGAGGACGTAAAAGATAACGCTGGCAGTAAGCAGGCAATCGGTATGTCTAGGAAGGATTCATTCAGTGAGCTGCTGTTGCATCTTCCTCGAATCGCATCTATTCCAAAGTTTTTGTTCAACATCTCTGAGGAAGACGATGAAAATTAAGTAGTCTGGCTGAAATGTTTCTGTATATTGTTTCAGAAATCGGCAACAGAGGACGGTTTTGAAAGCGTTCGACAAATTCCTCATGGGATTCTGAAATATATATATTGATGAAGAATCCTGCATGTGTTATTCATGTATTTAGGCATTTGATGTATGTCTACAGCTGTTTTAATTCTTTCCTCTGTAATGTTATGAGACAGTCCCCACCTTACATAAGTTGTAAATTGAATATCCTTTGGTTAATCAATTCTATTTTAGAGCTTATACAACTTCAAACTAGATGTCTTATTTCATTGTTATTAATTCATTTTTATTTTTATTTTTATTTTTTAAAATTAATTTTTGTAATATTCTACTCTTCCTTTTGTAATAATTCCTTTTGTTTTATTATTTATTTTTTAAAAAAACCAAGCTAATTTTTTCTTTATTATTATTTAGAGTTCTGGAAGTTGAAAAGTTTATAAGAAAATAATTGTAAATTTCAAGAACAAAAATCAATGGTTGATGTATAGGGCCAAATTTATTTTATTTTGATCCAAACTTTTGACCAATTTAGATTCAAATGCTTTATTTTCTTTTCAATCCTAAACTTAGAGCTTCATATTTGGAAGAAAAAAAAAAAACACGAACTCGAGTTTCGCTTGGTGGGCCAGGAATGCCTGACTTATCAATTTTTCTGGTAAACTACTGAGAGCTCATGTAGCCCATGTCGGATTAATCGTATTCTAGGCCAGAACAATGAACCTATTCCAAGTGGCTCATTTCCTATATGAGAAACCCATGTATGAACAAAGATTAATTTTACTTCCCCACCTACCTACTCTAGGTTAGGGCATAGATCTTGGTGGGGAAGTTATAGACACATTTCCGTACTTTGTGTTTGGAGTACTTCACTTAATTTCCTCTGCAGTATTGAGTTTTGGCGGTATTTATCATGCACTTCTGGGACCCGAGACCCTTGAAATCAAGCATTTTGAAGATTTAGTGTAATCAAGTTCCACATTTCAAAACCATACCTAATAAATTGATATCGAAACACAAAACAATACTAATTTCACCTAAATTTTACATTTCAGACGTAAGAAAAAATAACATAAGAAATAAGCAATAAGCGATAAAGTAAAAATAAATTTATACTTGTACCCTAAATTTTATAGGAAGAGTTGTAACAACAACAAAACCAAAAAAAAAAAAAAAACTAAACTAGTAATTGAATCCAATCCATAAGCATGAGACAATTCAATTTTTTGAAGTAATAAAGTTCAGAAGTTCTTATATTAATATATATATATATATATATATATATATATATATATATATATGGAAGTCAAGTAGAGTCAAATTAAAGACTAGGGGTGGCAATAATATTCACAGTTTTCCACACTTGAAGGTTAAATATTTACAGAGAGAGAGAGAGAGATGGGTATAAAGTGAGGGGGTTAAAAAAAGCTCATCCACCATCATTTGTACAAAAAGAAAAATAAAAAAAAAGTTCACCTCCCAACAATTGTTCTTCAATGTTATTGATATCTACATTTGGGATCTTCCATCATGTCAGTCGCTTGTTTGCAGGGAGATCAGGAAGCTGTTGAATGAATAGCAGTATCCGGTAACATCGCTACGGTTACTATAAAATATTCACATCCGACGGGCAGACTGTACGGGTTCAAAGATAAACCTGAATTCAAGGTCAACCTATCAGTCCCCGAGTCGGAGATCGCACAATCAGTTTGATCCACCCTACCGTGATCACGCCGAGGAGGAGGCGATGGTTTCACAATCTGGCGTTCAATGTGAACAACCTGCCCAACAATGTAGTTAGGCCGGGTAAGGAGATTGTCTGCAAATAAAGCCACAGATTCAGCAGAAAGGTAGTAGTTGGCGCAGTTCCGATTGATTGCCTCGTAATATCCAGCTGCATTCCGAACAAACGCAGCAATCTCGTGGACTTTCATGCGACCAAACGAAATCTTTTCCTTGTTTGCCTGTTTCAAAGCTCAAATCGAGGTTACATAAAACCCGACAATCATAAACCAAGGATATATTCGAACAGTATAGGTAGGTGGATCATACAAACCATTCTTAAAACCTATAAATTTTTTTTGAGTATGTTGAGGATGGTTGGGAGGGAGTCCAACTTTTTCAAAAGATTCCAAAGCGCATATTAGCTCATTTAGGGAATGATCGTGGGTTTACAAGTAAAGAAATACATCTCCATTGGTACGAAGCCTTTTGGGGAAGCCCAAAGTAGAGCCATGAGAGCTTATGCTCAATGGACGACAATATTATACTAAAGTATTTAGGGAGGGAGCTCATAATGGAGGTTTACCTGCTTCTCAAGTTGATGCTTTGAGTACAAAGTTTTAACAAGCTCTTCCTTTTCTTCTAGTTCTTTGACAAGTTGTTCGTTCGCAGCTTCAAGCTTCGGGTATTTTTCAAGCAGTTCTTCACGTTCTTTGACCAAAATTCCGACCCTCTCTGCTATAGCCCAGATGCATTGGCGGAATTCATTGGTGCCATCGTTTTCATTGTCGCTAACAGAACTAAAAGAATTACAGGTTAGTTTTCATTAATGAAATCAATAACTGATAAAACATTGCATAAAATGGATACTTGCACAAGAAAATCCCTAGAATCCAGAATTAAAGCTGGATGGAAAATAGAAAAAAGTTACATTTACAAGTCCAGCCATCTCTCTATAGTTCTTTTTTCCTGGATCATAGAAGAACTAATCTCGTAACTAAGAGGATTCTTATGGAATTTATACGAGGAGAACAGTTTATAAGGGTGTGGAAACCTCTCCCTAGCAGACACATTTTAAAACCTTGAGGGGAAGCCCAAAAGGAAAAGCATAAAGAAAGACAATATCTGCTGGGGGTGGACTTGGACTGTTACAAATGGAATCAAAGCCAGATACCAAGCGGTGTGCCAGCGAGAACGCTGGCCTCCAAGGAGAGAATTGTGAGATCCCACATCGGTTAGTGAGGAGAACGAAACATTCTTTATAAGAAACCTCTTCCTAGCAGACACGTTTTAAAACCTTGAGGGAAGCCCGAAAGGGAAAACCTAAAGAGGACAATATCTGCTAGCGGTGGACTTGGGCATGCGGTGAACTTGGGCATGTAATACATTATATAAATAACTGACAATATGGCTAGAAGTCATTCAAACATCAGGAAACTACCTTCAAAGTTCCGTATGATAGTTTATCCATTTAATAGCAAAAGTAAAATTAATAGTGCCCATAAAGGACGGAGAAAGCAAATATGTTTGATCAGATTCATCATCCAAGAACCTAAAACTATAGTACTAGTGCATTTAAACATATAAGAAATATATAAAGAAAAAAACTGAAACAGCAGAAATTCATTCATTGGCAGATTACAACAGAATACAAGACAAGAAACAAGGTTGCATTTGATCCTCTCTTTTTAATGTGGGTAAAGGGGAATGGTTTGGAAATCAGCAACTGTGCAAAAAATCAAGTAACTTACTTGGCTAAAGATTGTGCTAAAGTGCGTAAGGAATGAGCAAAAGCAGCCACTCCACTTGGAGCAAAAACATAAGTTTTTAGTCTTTCAACATGGCCCCGCATTTTCACAGCTGATGCACGAAGTGCATTATACTCTGAAGCCCTACGGGAAGCTGCACAAAGATGAGTTTGAGCCTCCTCCCTCGCTTCATGCAGACAATTCTCCAAGTGGGCACAATTCATCTGCAAGGATGGATAAAGAATAATTTACAACAACATAAGAACCCGAAAAGAAAATCTGCATTTGACCAGAAAAAGAGTCGTTGACCATGACAATGAAAACTAAGATAGGAAAAAATAATAAATAAATAAATAAACCACTTTTTCAACAGGTAAATATGATTTAATTTTCTTTTTAACAACAAACTTTTGATTGATAGATGAAAGGAATATCAAAGTTCAAGGATACAAACTCTCATCGGGAGTGAGAAAGAAAAAAAAAAACGATAACAGTACAACCAACCAAAGAGAGCAAAACAAGCACTCCAAACCAAAGAAACAACCAAACAAAACTAAGGTACCAACCACTGATTCCTGAAGAAAACAAACAATAGAAAAAACAGAACATTTGAAGATAAGTATCACAAGCACAGCTATCACACTCGTTTGGTCATTTAAAGGGAGAGAAATCAAATAGCATTGGAAGATAAATCGGAATCATTTGAACTCTTTTGCAACAATGTACAGTACAATACACTTAAAAGGACTTTCAAAGTACTCTATCATCATCAACGAAAAGCCTAGAGGAAAAATCTTCCCATTGAGATCTTTGCCAAGGTGATCCACTCTCACCTCTCCTTTTCATTATTGTCATGGATTGTTTGAGCAGAGAATATTATCTCTTAGGGACGACAAAGGGTTTAAAAGTAGGTAAAGGGCCTCTTGGTTTATCTATCATGCATCTATAATACGAGGATGATACAGTTTTATTTTCCTCCCAAAATGATCTGCATCTCGGTAATCTGTTTCATACCATCAGAACTTTTGAGGAAGAATCTGGGCTTAATATACACTGCCATAAATTAGATTTTAGGGGTAAATCTTGATCCTTGCTGTCTTCATCAATTATGGTCCATTTGGATAGGATAAAACTCTCTTTTGAATATATCTTGTTCTCTGTGATATTCCCCTAGGGAAGGGAACAATGAAGATAAATTGAGTCAACTCGTCAACTGGGAGGAATTGGCTCCTTGCCACAGGAAAGGGGAGGAATAAGTGGGTTGAAACCTAAGACAGAAGAAACTGGTCTTTGGAACAGAACAATTAAACTTGTGAGAAGGATGGTTACCAGAAGGAAATATGATAGCTGTTGTAGCTTGGAGTAGGATTGTGAAACTTCGATGTAGGTGATGTTGGATTGAAATGTTAGTTGGGCGGTTGGTTGTAATCTAGTCATTAAGGCTACTTATTTGGAGTAGCGTTAGTTATTTGAAACATGCCATTATAGGATCTGAGCAAGCGAATTGTACGGTTAGGCTATCAACTAATATAAATACTAATTATCGTTTGTACTTTTGGATTACTTGATGAATAAGATTAACTCATTTTTTGGTTTACACCAAATTTATATTCCTTATTTAGGGATCGCCTGCCATAAAGGTTATGAAGGAGTCACAGGCACAGTTCCAGAAAATAAAGCACACAGACAAAACTAGTCAGCTGGACACTTTCACTACGAAAAAGGAAAGTTAAAAGGGTATCCTCCAGACACAACCATGCTACTGCTAAAAAACTTCACTGGACA